CTAGAATTCTAGTTGAGATAACTAGAATTCTGACTCATGTAATTATTCTGATAAAAATAAGAATTCTAGTAGATTTTATCAGAAATATTCAATCAGAATCCTGATTATCTCAATTGAATTCTAATAAATTTAACCAGAAAATTCTGATTCGTCCATTTTCAACCAGAAATTTTTTTCAGTGTGTCTATAAAATAAAAATAAAAATGGAAAACAATTTATCTTATATACACACATGTTTAAATAGAATTAAAAAAACATCTCAACTAAACGTTGGAAGGTCAACTTCGCAAGATCAATCTTGATTCGTCACTGATTACACATCTGCACAATTCGTCTCGTCTCTCCATTCGAGTCTCACGAATTTCGAGGTCGTATCAGTGATGCACATTTGGGTCCAGTCACTAGTGGTCCAGGTCCACGCCGCGTTCGGTTCGGCTCGGCTCGGTTCGGCTCAGCACGACAGTGAGACTGTCAAGTCGCTGTCTCGCTCGCGCTCGTTGCGTCGAAAGCTGCTGAATGCGTTATGCGAGAAGGACGAACGTAGTATCTCGTCGGACCCAAATATGCATCACTGAGTCGTAGATATCTCGCAAGCCGCCGTAAGTTATGCCTCTTTTTTTCGAATATACAATCGAATCGGAACCTAGAGAGTCGAAAAAACATTGACGTTTTAACGAAGCGACTGCGCAAAAAAAAGTTCGTGTTTCATGTGGAGGAAAAGGGATTCTTCACGTAAGAAATTTAATTAATATTATGAAATTTTCAATCGGACACTCGTAAATGCTAAATCACTCTCGTAAGTGTGGCAACGATGGATCGTTTGAGAAAATTTCCTGCGAGTTCTCTTCGTGCTTCGGAAAAATGCTACATACAAAATGGATTCGATTCCAAATTTCCTGCTTCTTTTATACACATCGCAGATTTTAGGAGGCCGATCCGTGGAGGAAGAGGCAGGTAAACGTGGGCGGAGTACGTATATCTGCGTGCATCTGCGTGATGACTAACAGATGTGATGGAACGTAGTTTCGAAGACTTTGTACTTTTGAGGCAGCTGCACAAGTTTACAACGACACCTCGAGTTCATAGACTGGATGGATAAATTTAGCTCATGAGAAGATATATGCGCGTTAAAAAATTTTTTCAACTCTGACACTGAATGATATATCGTAGTACCATTTTGTGTGCGTGCGTGCTCGTATGCGTGTTGCGTGTGCGCGTCGATATAAAATAAAACAAATGACGATATAATCTTTTCTTATTCAAATTAAAAAGTTATCGAGAGTAGAAATCATTTTGAAGAATCTACGCAGTGATTTAATGTAAATATTATTTCACTGAAAATATACGATAATTGTTTACGGAAAAATTGAATCCGAGGAAACGGATATTTTTGTTATAATTGATACGGCGATGATTGAACATCCTGCGTACCGAGAAAGATACGTTAATCATATAATGCATCTTTATGTAACGAATATTTTGTCGACGCATCGCTCAGAATTTTTATCTAATCATTATCTCTAATTAATATGATTCATTCAAATATAAGATATTGGACTTATATCATAAAACAAATCATAAATTTAAAAATACAACTTTAAAGCATTATAAAATAGGACAATTAGAAAATTATATATCTCTAACACTTTCTTATACGTAATAATTATTTTTTGATAAATATTCTTAATAAACTTTACTAAGAGACAATTTATTTTTCATTAACGAATGTAAGCATGTTGTACAAACCCTTTAATTTCTGGCTTATAATTCTCGGCTTATAAACTCGGTCTCAACACTCCCATTAAAGTCGATAATACTGTATATTTGCGCACGCGTTATAATAAAAGCGAGAGTATCTGTCTCTCACGAAACTCTGTGGATGTGTTACTTGAGAGAGAGAGAAATAAATAAACCGCTTCTATATCTAATTTTGCAGCCTTCGTCCCTTCGAACTTGGCGATCCCATATTGTACACTTGTGAATTCCCTGTCGTGCATTCTTCGTAATGTAATAGGCTTAAAATACGATGCAAATGGAGCCAAGAGGCTCGTGGTTCGTACATAAAGTATATTCTAAGCCGCGCGACACTTATATAACCACAGTTAGAACTTCCGCGCGCAGATTGCGTTGTCTCAAGCAAAAATATCTCACCTTTCCCAGTAATCTGTCTACAGTTATATTATAAATACGACAAAATACACTCTAATGTAGGTTATCTTGATAAATATGTCGATAAACGTAAGTAAGAAGGTATACAATGATGAAATTCAGCCACAAGTTGAGAACGTCACATTTTCTAATGAACAATCGCGCGTTTTGAATCCAACTGATGTGAGTAATGCCGATAAGAATTATCTTTAAAAACATATACCTACATTTATTCGTGTAAATATATATAATTTCTCTTTTTAAATATATAAATAATACGCGTATTTAAAGCTGCGTGTGCTGCTATGTGTATCACTGTGTGTTAACTGAGTCACCGAATAAATGCTGTCACTTTTGAGCGCATTGACGAAATATTTTATTGATTACTCCGCACAAAAGACTGCTTCCGCAGCCGCCGTAAAAACTTATTTACAAGAAATGTAAATGCGTTATTTATCATCGAACAGACTATTGCGTGCAAGCGTCTGCTGTCCCCAATCAACGTTTTTTTGCTTTTTTACTCAGAGACATGATCTAGCATCACCATGTCAACTACAAATGCTAATATACACAGTGATACCGGGACATATATACGTAGAAGCGTGTGCTATGTACCCAGGGGGAAAAAAAAAGACTATAGTCGCATCACGTCGCAACGTTCTCTTATTTTCAAAGCATCCGTTCGCCATCGTGCGTCTTTGTACGGTACAAGACACAGTGTAGGAAGGTCATAATGATCTCATATCTTTATTCATAAACATCCCACAGGCATAACGAGCAACGAGGACAAAAGTATCGCGCGTATTTCTGATATCATTCAGTATACTAGGCGCTACATTGTTAAAAAGTATTGTTTTCACAGAATTTTATAGAACTGTGAATTTCATAAAAAGTTTTGATGTTGAAGGAACAAAACAAAAATATATGATATTTCAACGTCAATTTGATCGTTAAAGAGCACTTTTCGATTTAATTCCAACTCGTTGTTAATAAATTTATAAAGAGACCGTAGAAATATAACTTCTATCAAGTCGTAAGCTTATATAATAAGAAGCTTAAGTTAAAGCTAAGGCTTATATGAGTAAAAACTTATATATCCGCTACAATAATATTTCCTCCTGGTTATGGAGTAATATTACAAGTCGTCCAATAGTTTCGCAAAACAATATCCGGACGTTTTAAAGCGAAATTTTCCAATAAGAATAAAAATTTTATCTATTAATACGTATAAATAAAATGTCTCCATTCTGAAACTATTTCAGTAGAAAGTACAGTTATTTTAAAATGCACGCAACCAGGTAATTCCGCATCGTTTTAAGATTAGCCAATTCTAAACATTAAAGCAATCGTTATTGCTTTACGTAGCCGCGTTTGTAAAAATCTTTTGAAATCTGTCACTACAATCCTGTCTGCACAATCGAGATTATTGAGATGATTCTGGATAACTGACGCAATCAATTTTTACCGCTATGTATGAAAATAAAACACATTTATCACCGGGAATATTTGCGAAACGCGTCTTTATTATTGTACCATGATTTTGAATTTTAATTATGACTTACTAGATCTATTATTATTTCACAAAACTTTTTATTCTTATCCTTAATTCACAAGATCACAATTAACATATATATACAATTATTCTTCTTTCTTTAGTTCTATACTTAATATTAATCCATTGAATAAAGAAAATATTTTATGAATTGATCTTTGGATATTTCGGCGCCATTTCAAGAATTTTTTCTGAATAATCGTTGATTTTTTTAGATAATAATAGAGCTGATAATCTCCGAGAACAAAAGGCGCAATTGAGACCGTGATAATGTTTGCTTCGAGATAACTAGCGCGACTACTACGTGACTTTTACGTCGATTTTTACGTCTGTTGTTACTTATCTTAATCGAGTCTATACTTCCGCAATCAAAGAGAAGCCAGGGAAACATTTTTTAATCTCGTATCATAACTACGATGGCAACGTTACTCAAGAAATCGTGAATGCATTCTGTATAAAAATGTAATGTGTTTGTTCTCAATAAATCTCGATGGACTCAGCATATGGTAAACCTCGCACGATTCGGACATTCCGAGGGAGATGCGAGGCTAGTTTTCAGAGCAGGTATACTGGCAGACCCAAGTCTGTCTGTCTTGGCTCTTCGGGTTGGATCTTTGAAAAGCGTGTATTTTCAAATTTTGTTCTCAAAGACCAGAACTCTACCCACCCAAACACAGACCATCTCACACCGATACCTTACTACTACTAGCTCCACAAGTTCTTTCACGCATTCCTCCTCCATTTTCCTCTTTCTTCATTCTACATGCATATTCCTGACCATCACTGTGATGACTTTTTTTCTTAAAATACAAATTCGCTGCGTATGACTCATGTGTGAACGACAATTAGCACTCCGCTTTTAGAAATTCAATGGAAACAACAGAAATTTATACAACGTTCTTGATATATTTCTAAAAGATTCCCTTTTAAAAAACTTAATAAAAACAGAAGAGAAAATATTATATAAAACGATATAAATAAAATAATTTTTTTAATGTAACAAAATTATAGTGCTAAAAAGAGAAAATGAGAAACGTGGTTTTAGGCGCATAGCTATTTGTAGTAACCATATCACCGAAAGAACAGAAACACTCGAGACCTTTCGGTTCACTTCTTTAATGGCTTTGAAAATATTTGCCGGATGATTTTTATTTTATCGGACGATCTTTCACCATTTCTGCCGCATTAGTGAAATATTTTACCTTTACACGTTTAAAAAGGTTTAAAAGGTTTCGAGATCGACGACTCGAGAGAGACAGTCCAGTTTATGTGCATATAAGAGGAGAAAAACGAGACTTACCTATGCAGCTGTACGGGAGTGGACCTCGCAGGTACGTGCTGGTTATGCGAGGTCGGTGGTTGAGGCTGACCTCTGCCGGGGTTCGACGTCGCGAGCGAGTGGCCGTGGGACCCATGGGGGTGACCGTGGGGGTGGGAGTGTGGGTGCGGAGGAAGGGCGTGCGGGTGTGGATGATGATGGTGATGCAGATCTCCCCCCACTGGGCCCACAGGGCCCACCGGACCCCCCACCCCCAGTCCACTCACTACCTGAACTTGCTTGCCCACTGTCTCCATCACCCCTAGCGCATTGTGAACTGAAACAGATATATATAGATCATTCTGTAGGAAATAAAATACTTCCATCTTGAGGTGCAGGATTTTTCAATGATCGAAACGTGAAAGGAATAAGGAGAAATATTTGTAAAATTTTTAAGTAAAATAAAAATAAGAATTGAGAAAACAAAATTACGTAAAATTAAAACGAATTTAAATTGCATAATGTCGTATTTTCCTGATACGTCGACATTTCGATTGTCACACGACAAAAAATAAACAAAGAGGAAGACATTTCGAAGAAATTTCGTGCAGGTGTTGCAAATTTCGATAACGATTTAAATCAGCTCAATCATAACGGAGTTGACTTTAGAGTCTATCGGTAGACCATTATGATCCCTGTGACCATTAATAGCGGATCAATTATGGCGATACACACACGTCATTCGATATCGCTCAATTATCATCGACGTAGTTTTTCATATGTCCACTTAGTGTTGAATAGATTGAATGCATCAATAGCGACCAGTCATGACATTGCGGAAATGTACGCGGTCTGTTTATCGTGCCTTTCCTTTCGCAATGGCGAGGTATATCAATCGCAGGTAGAAATTAAAAGCAACACGAATGCGAGAAACGCGCATCGTGCAGTATGCAATTACAGTTACATTGAAAACGGGAAGTAGATCGAATTTCTTGCCGATTCACCTCGAGTCTTTGTAACGGCACAAAATACGCTTCTATTAACTCTTTACAAGAAGAATTAAGGATAATTTAGACGAGACGATCGATGCAAAGTTACATTACTACACCTATAAAAGAACATGATTTCTTTTTCAAAATCAAAACAAAAACGTAAAATTATGATCACTGCAAATTACGTCACTGTGTAATTAAAAGTTTGACAGAATTAGTTTAAATTTAACTAACATACGCAACGTCTGACTTTCTTCAGTTCTTAAAATTCTCAAACAGTTCAGCTCGAAGCGCTTTTGCAGGCACCGAGATATCCTGTATAATGTATATGTCAGCATGAATTGCACATTTATAGAAATTCTTCACTTCTCACATGGCTGGCATAAATGAACTTAGAGGCACACGGTAATACATATATTCATGTCGGATGGCTGGAGAGATGGTGGACGAATAAGTGCTGCATACGGATACGGCAAAATAAAATACGAATGTGTACAGGTTCCGCGCAATGCATAAATTTATACGTGGCTACATGTCTCCGTTAAAATATATCGAAAAATATTCTGTAACGTAAGACAGTGCTTCTCAAATTTTTGCAAGACACGTACCTTCAAATAAATTTCTCTGTTGTCAACTAAATTTGAATTTGCAAATTTTTAATATTTATGATGATTGATAACTAAAATCTTTTCGACAATAGAATTTATCAATAATACACTAAATTATTTTTATGAATATTTAATATAAACAAAAGTATGTAGTAGGAATTTATACACATGCTAGAAATAGATCTAGACAAAGCTAAATATTTTAAACCATTCAAAGAAGAAAGAAGGTCTATACATTGGTCGTAGCAATAATGTTTAATTAATTTATTATGACACATATATGTATTTTAAAATTTCTTTTAAGTGCTGTATTGTTTGAGAAATATAAAAATGGAACGTGTTTAATTTTAAAACTATCACATTTCGTGAAATATAAATAACCGAGTTAAAAGAAAAATGTTAATATCTTAATTTCAAATGGAGTAGAAATTTATTTTTAAAAATGTGCGACAGAGAAGAGCGATATAGAAAGAAAGTATGAAACATTTTATTGGTTCAGTTTACAGAGAATTAAAAAAAAAAATTAAGCTAAAGATAGTTGACTCTACGAATTTTTGTTACTACTAATTTTGATTGTATTTGCAAGAACTTTAAAGATATTTTATACATATTTTCAAGACGATAACAAAATTATGAAAAAAATTACAGATTATTTTAAATCACGTTTAAAAATAATATGACAAATTTAGTGACAGTTTACTATGTGAATCATAAGTTATTTTAATAAATAGTAGTATTTTTTTAATCTGTGCTCTAATAAAAATAAATGGAAATGTATTATATAAAATAAATAATAAAAATTTCAATTTTTAAATATAAGTACATGTATTCAAAATTATTTACGTAGAGTAGTATTTACATTGTGATGCACGAACTAGTTGTCTAGTATATAAATAAAATATTTGTTCTATATCTTTGCAACTAATCAGTGAATCGCAATGAAACTTTGTATAAATTATTTTAAATATTTTAAGTACTTACAAAAGAAAAATGTAAATTTTTTAAACATTTTTTAAAATTTTCATTTTTAACAATAAAAATAATAACGAATAAAATAAATTACAAAAATGTGTTGTTAAACAAAAATATAATCTTATTCACATAACTTTTATATGTATATAGTTTATTTAAAGAGTAAATATTAAACATACTTCCAAAAACTTTCTTTGCAGGGACTGTACGTCTAATATCTTTAAAATATACAAACTCCAGTTTCGCTTACAGATAAAAATATCATTTATATTAATTATGCACACACACACACACACAGGACATATTGGTGTATTTTTTTGCATGTAAATAACGATACAAAATATATTCCGTGCTATTAATGGAGGTTCATTCTGAAATATAATTTACTTGATTCATTTCTAAACAAATATTAAGATATTACACAGTGTGATAAAATAAAAGAGAAATTTTTCAAAACATAGAAAATTAATTAAATATCAACATAGAAAAATGCTAGATTAGCAACAATATCTATTAATTTTATATTCTTCACTCAAAATATCAAATAAAATTTCAATAGCTAAAATATAAAAAATAATTTATAATTCAAAGTAATTTATGAAAAAATAGATTTACATCTCACGTACATAATATGTATGCCGTCCATTTGGATTGATTTAGTAAAATAATACAAAATGATATTTCTACATTAATGCATTGTTTTAATTAAAAAAGTTCCTCTCTCTCTCTCTCTCTCTCTCTCTCTCTCTCTCTCTCTCTCTCTTTTTCCTTTAATTTTACGACAACGGTAATTTCAAATCCAAAACAGGTATCGACATGCAATTAAGATTAATGAGAGTACGAGGGAAGAATATAGTACCGGCATCATTCTATAGAAAGCGGTATAGAGTCATGGACTTTGCAACGTTATAGACCGTTGGTGGTGTGCCGTCTGCATATTCTACACCAGACAGCAAGCCGTCGTCACGCGAGCCCGCCGCGCCGCAATTCCGTAAAGAAAGGAAAAGTTCAGGACGCGCGATGTGCAATAGACGTCGGCGCGCTCACAGGCGCATTATAACGGCACTAATAGTAATCGATGTTGCGAGCGGAGCGACCAGAGGGAGAATCGCTCGCGAAAATGAATCGAGAGCAAATCAAATTCACGAGTGACACAAGTTTCGCGCAAATGGGAGCGGGCAATCGATGTAAACGTATAGTCGTGCGAATCGAACAACGTTGGAACAAGCTAAACCCATCACTGTACAAGTGAAATTACGGGGGAAATGTGTTCAATCGGTTGAAAATGTATTTAATCACTTCATCATCGAGAGCTCGAAATTTACAACCATTGCCTTCGATGTGCAATTTCACACGCCGAGAATTTTATTTATAATTTATTATTCGTTATACATGCACCGAGATCTATTGAAAAAGATTCATCATTTTCAATTTCCGCATTACGTGAAAATGCCACCCTATAATACATACTTTTCTTTTATTTCTTGCACTTTATACTTTGAATTTTTGCAGTGTATTGTACTCTTTTTGAGAAATATTATATCAATTATTATTTATATCTATATCAAAATTCGGAAAATGAAGTGCTTACCTCGGGAAAGAAATTATTTTTAAATGTTAATTACGTATATTATTATAAGAATAAAGAACTTTTAATTCAAACAACAATATCAAGAGTGTACAGGGCACTTAAGAGTCAAATATAAAGAGAAAATTATTTAAAACTCAAATCAGAAGTATATTTAATATAATATTCTATAAATAATTAAAAGTTCTATATACAATAAATTTCATTAAATGTTTCGGTCTCACGATTGAGCCATCTTCAGATGTGATAGTCGTATATGAACGGGTGAAGTTATATTGAATTAAACGCAGTCGAAGAAATAGATAAAATTATGAACATGTTAATGAAGACCAGAGAGATGATTTTGTAGAGAGACGGAAATTACTCGCAAAACGGCTGGATGACTGGTTGTTTAGAATTTCCCGATATTCTTTCTAACTGGCCATATATTTAAATTTCGCATGTCGAGAAGAAGCACGTCAATTGTTAAATCCTTCAGCGTCAATGTGTTAGTTTGTGATGAAACAAATACTAATATCGCAGTGGAAAATTTTGTCACACAAATATAAAATTAACATTGAGATATAGAGATAAAAATTCATATACCAAAAAATATTTAAAAAATGTTAAAAACGAGACCAATGTTAAGCATGTATGTTACTTTCTCGACAAACGAACACTGACTAAATTTTCCACTACAATATTAGTATTTGTTTCAAACAACCGGTCGTCCAGCCGTTTTGCGAGTAATTTCCGTCTCTCTACAAAATCATCTCTCTGGTCTTCATTAACATGTTCATAATTTTATTTATTTCCTCGACTGCGTTTAACCAATGTAACATCACCCGTTCTAGTTTGAGTTTTTATGTTTTACATAATTTTCTCTTTATATTTTACTCTTAAGTGCCCTGGACACTGTTGATATTATTGTTTTAATTAACGTCAAATAATTAAATATTATAAAGGATAACAGTAATAAAAGTTGAAGAAAAATAACCGTCTCTGAATTCGAGATCTCATTAACACAGTAAACGAGTCAGATACTGGGTGCCGGTGACAAGTAATCTCTCTCTCTCTCTCTCTTTCCGGGAGATGCGGGGTGCATTACGTCACGTCCACCGGCTATCAGAATGCTAGCACGCAGTAAAAGGGGGAACAGGGGGATCTTATAAGCCGGGCGTGCACCTGCTTTGTGCGCTAAACTAAAAATGACGTTCGGACGACGGTAACGCAGGGCAACCGGCTATTAAAGCGGAACTACTCGGCAAATGCGAATCTTCCTGCTCGAAACAAAGTTTCATGCGTATTTCTGTCGCGCATCACGAACCGACGTCTTTACCTTTCAATCAACGCACGCGCCATACTTTTCGTATTTCTGAAAGGCCTGGGGCCTTATTCTCGAAAAATATCGCGTACTCGGAAAATACTCGGAAAATCTATAATAAATGTAACACACATACATATATACGACAGCATTTTCATACATTTTCGTAAGCGATATTTTTTCGGAAGTACAGCCGCTGACCGTGTCTCGAACGGCAGAATGCGTATGTATGGTCGATGAAATTACAGAATTTGCCTTCGAATTCACGTCCGAAATTAAAACTCGCGGTTCATTCTCTGCCCGGTGGACAATTATTCGGACAGAACGTAATTCGCGTTGGAAGAATTTTCGTGTAACGAATGCGTCGACAAGAGAGAATCTTTTCCACCTTCGTTCCATATATCCCTTTTCGCTTTCTCTTTCCCTCCGCACCCCTCTCTCTCTCCCTCTCTCCGTTCCCCAGTCCCTTCGTTCGTTTCCATGCTTTCCCCTCCGTACATCGTCCCTTTCTAGCTCGTCGCTTCCCACTCTCGGCGTCTCCATCTCTTCGGCCGTCGCGTCGACCGTTTTGTACTGGAACGCACGCAGGATCGATATCTCAGAGTCCTATATAAAAGTCTATAAAAGCAAAGTGGAAATATGCGCGAGGGAGACGACCGTGACAAACGCGCGGAAATGGGGAAAAAATAAATTAATTAAGGGCGACGCCGCTGCACGTATCGGCGCTAGACGCCAGCGCGAGACCTGAGAGACCTGAGAGACCTGAGACCTATATCTCGTTTAGAGAGCCTCGTCGGAGAGAAAGCTACGGAACTTGGGAAGGAAAGAGCTCTCCGTGAGCTTGCCGTGGCAAAACCATCGCTGCTATATGCTAGGTATATCCCGTGCGAAAGCGACTCAACTTTGTCATCGTAACCGATCGCTCAATATTATGCCAAAAAAAAAACTCGTTTCTTATTAAATAACAAGACGTCCAAGTTGAAACATCAAATCTAAAATTATAATTTGAAAAAATAGCATTCCAATCGAATTCGAAAGAATTTCAATCAACGTGCGTTGATTTTGTAAAATTTTTTTATAAAACTACGGAAAGGATGATTTTGCTCGAGTATCTAGAAAATTTAGCTAAAATATACAGATCTGAAAATAATTTTGTTAGACTATCAAAATAATTAAACGTAGGAATTTCAAGTATGACGAGGAATGCTGCAAAAACTTTTGACATTCTTGCAACCAAGAGTTTAAGCATCCTAATTATTTAGATGGTTGAACAAAATTATTTTCAGATCTGTATCTAGCTAAACTTTTAGATACTTGAGCAAAACCATTCTTTCCGTGTATAATCTCGAATGTCCGAAAGTTTATCTGTGATTTATAGAGACGTTAAATTAAATTTAATTAAAAATTATACTATCGTTACAAACACAACGCATCATTAATCATCCGTGTTATATTAATTAAGATACGAAACGCGAATGTGTTATGTGACAACATTCATTTCTCAGCCTCCGACTGTATAAGATTCGTAATCATCGTATTCTCCAGTATAGACCTTCGGTTAACGCGATTCGCCACTCGAGCCTCTGAAAATTGTCGAGAGTTTACAATGCGTTTTACTAATCTAAAAATTACCGCCCGGCGGCGGGCGGACATGTGCCCTTCATTATATACCTCGATATACCCTTCCCTCGCTTCAACTTTCTCTAAAACCGTCTTGCCAGTCGGCGTCTGCGTCTCGTCTAACTGCACAAAGAAAGAAAGACAGAGAGGGAGAGGGAGAGGGAAAGAAGGAGACGCGAACCGTGCAGCTCGCACGGGCGGCCATCTTTCCTCACGCTTGGAAAAGAAGAACGACGGACTCGCCTGACGGAGTAACCAGCAGCGTGGAGTTTACGCACACCAACGCCAATGCACATTGCACACCGTGTAACGCAACGCTCACGCACACAATCAGGCTGACAACAAGCCGTTATACGTTATACCTGGAGAGGATCGAACACCCGCGCGCGGTCAAAACTTGAAAATTACCGGGCCATGTTTCGCAAGAAATGTCCTCGCGAGAAACAACCGCACCGAGAACAGATCTAGTCAAAATAATCAGAATTCTGGTTGCCTCAATCTACTAGAATTCTAAATAGATTTAGCTAGTTTCAATTAATCCAACCAGACATTCTTTTCAGTGCGTCTTCAATTTTTTAAAGAAATCTCGTAAAGGTTATTAAATTAAATATTGCTTCAAGATATATTAGCGTGTGTGTTGATTTTAATCTCTCTATAATTTAGTGGAGATGTTTCGTATTCCGTCGTGATGCTCGTCATAATTCGAAATATTGAGAAATATTGCTTGCGATAATTATAGCGGCGTATTAACGTGACTTTCCGGAGTAATCGGAAAGTATGATGTCCCATTAACCTGACACTGCCTTTCCGGTCATTCTAGACTACGTACTTTAATAAGCAAGACAGATACCGGCGAAATATCGTTAACGTGGATACGAAATGTCGCTAGAAGAAGAATGACGTTATTAACGGCGCGTTCCGCCGGTCTCGCCGAAGCTCGTGAATACATTCAGCCTTGGATATTTTCATACGCTAGACCGCTCGCGCGAACGCGCCCGCGAGCTGCAACTAAATTACGGTAATTGCAAACTTTCTCATTGACGCGTACACGTCACGCGTGTATTCCACGCACGCACGCACGCACGTTGCGCCCCCGACGGCGTTGCGGTAATTAATGCCACAACAGACCGATGGTCCTCAAGAAACGCAGGTGTATCCACCACGGTGTAGCGATCAACGGTTAATTTCGCCTCCCGCGTTTGTGTTTATATTTGTGAGATTCAAAAACGAGAAGAGCAGGTTCGGTATCATTACGTACACATCTTCATTTCTTATATTAAAAAATAAGTTTGAGCCGTGACGCTGTGGATGGTGGAAATAATTTTTGGAGGATATCAACGTAAACCAAAGGTGACAGGATAAGTGAAGGCGATTCAGATTTACTTAATACCGTAAGAGTTACATTCGGCAATGATACGTAAGCGACATATTTGCAACTACATGTTTGTGTAAATTGACTTATTCTATCTAGAGATAAAGAGGATGACCGACCGATATGAAGGTTGAAAAGTCTGGTTTTATCATTGTTAAAGAATACGAAACTTTGCGTTGGCTCACACGCGCTTCGTCTTATTGTTATTAGAAATAATTTTCTTTAACGTGGTTACGATGGCAACGAGCATAACAGTGTTGTACAGTAAGGCAAACTCTATCGTCTCTTACGAATATTTTTTTTATTTACTTCGTTTGCGACGCGTCCCAAATCCACGACGTTATTTTTCATGTCCGATACTTTATGTGGATTTAACTCAAACTTGGAAATTCCAAAGTTCAACTAAACCTGGACCCGAGGCTAAGTTTATACCTATCGATCTCGCATTAACAATGCGAGAAGAAGAAACGGAACGTTGGTAAAAGGATTATGTTGAGGCTTACAAATGCATCCCTTTCCTTCTATCGATATTTTACTATTTTCCCCTGGTCGCCCGCACGTTTGGTTCGATTGAAAGTTGAACGGGAGGAAGGAACGTGAAACTTGGCGACTGTTTTCAAACTATTATGGATTAACCGCATTTTACATTGGGTCACGCCACCAACGGTAGTAACGGCAGTAACGGCAGTCACACGAGCCAGCGAGAGAGAAAAGAAAGAAGGCAGAAGGAAGAAGAAAAAAAAAATGGAAGAAAAAGTGACTCACCGGTAATGACGTCAGCCGTGGAAAGCGAACCGGATCTGAAGTTTTCCCGCGGCAGACGGCGCGGGCGGTCGATCCACCGGCACCGGCGCGGCGATTCGATTCACCGGCCCGGCCTGGCCGGGCGGGGACGACGTCGACGACGATTCTTCTTCCGTGTAGCAATTACGAGGCACACACGCGCGCCCGTACACATATGGTACACACACACGCGGGGCGGCGCGTATCCTATTTAGAAAATTCGATCGGCCGATCGATCCGTGAAATCCGCGACGCCGCTTCGTCACTCCACAGCATACTTGGGTGTAGGCGAGCGTGCGCGCGCGCGCTCGCTCGCGGAGAAAATTCCTCTTCTTTCCTATCTCTTTTCAGCTCACCTCCGTGCCACTTGTTTCCCTCCCTCCTTCCTCTTCTCCTTCTCCTCCTCCTCCTTCTTCTTCCTCTTCTTCTTCTTCCCGCTTTCTGCCTGTCGTCGCACTGCACCGCGCACTGTCGTCTCACCCGCACTGTCTCCACGTGCACTGTCACGCGGCACCGCACACACGCGTCGACACTGCCCGTAGAATCGCCGAAACTCACGTCTCTTCCTCTTCTTTCGCCGCCTCTTCTTCGTGTCGCCGCTTCCGCTGCGATCTCTGCAGGAAAGACGAGGTCATGGGAAACTTGCGAGTTAATCGCCGCCGAGAACGTAGACGAGAGACGACGATCAACGACGCTATTCGACGCTATTCGCAGGGAGAACTCACGCGCACGCGCCCGCGCCCGCGGTAAACTGCGGCTAACAGAGGGCTGCTCAAAAGCTGCAACTACAAAGCGACGCGCACTCGAAAAACCCCGAAAAACTTGGAAAAACGGACAAATATTTCCTATTTCGCCCTAGATATTTCGAGACATCTGCGCCTCGACTATTTTGTAAAATTCACACTTGCGAGATTATTTCTACCTAATCATGCGTATTTATCATTCTTATATTGTATTTCGCTGTGTCCGAGTTCGTAGGGTAACCGTCCGTTGTTTATGTTATTATGTCATGATTTATTTTTATCTAAATAAATTTGTAAGTCAGGAGAGTAAATTTGGACGCTGGCCACGGATGCCAAACAACTCTAATTACGAAGGGTTTCCTAGGTTAGTACACCTCGGTTACGCAATCAGAGTATTTCGAACCGCGCCACGTTTATCGTCGGCTTCATTTTACGGACGAAACGGACCAAGTAACCGCGACACGCGTTGTTTAATCGAAGAGCGTTGCACCGACCAACAGTCGCACATACGCGTGTCATCATACATATAGAAGACGCACGCACGCACGACGCGTGTCCGTCACGAATTGAAGATGCAAGTATATGATCCGCGCGCGCGTTATTAATATCGAATTATATGCCGATATAGCAAGTCTCAAGAAATAAATCCTCCAACACGAAACGTAACAGATTTTCAATCTAGATTTTTATATATAAACTTGAGCGGTTTAAAAATATTGGAAGCGTATATTGCAAATTTTCTATGTTTTATGCAGATGTTGCAGAGTTACAACACTATCGAAATCGCTATAAAAATCAAGTTCAATATTACGCTCCGATTGGCATTTTTACGTCGTACAGCGTATTTCCGATCTTTTGTTTGTATTTCGATCTAAACATACGTTCGTTCGTTTCTAACAATGTAGATAAACTTTAATCTCAGTTCAATTTATTTTTTATCTTTTTCTATAGTTCTAAGAATTAGAAAAAAATAAAGAGTAGGTCAAATCGAGATTGCAATTAATCTACATTGGTAGAGATGGATATTAAAAAAAAAATAATAATAATAATAAAGAGTAAATTGAACGAAAATAAAAATAAAAGTACATTGGTTACGCGCGAGAGACACGCCGCGCCGTCGCCTTCGAGCAGCCAGTCGTTTTAACCGACTGACCCTATCGACGGCGAGCGATTAGACTGAAGCGTAGTGCTCGACTTCCGGTTCAGCTGTTCGCACAAAGATCCGCATGTTTCTCCGACCCGCGTGCCTCGCGCCACAGTGTTTTGTTGCCCGTCGCTTGTTTCCGCTCGGTATGCTTCGTCCCGCTTCGTCCTACTCTCAGTTATCCCCACTTTCTCTCTCTCTCTCTTTCTCCTACCGTATCGCTCGCCCCACCTCGTTCCCCCGTTGGCGCTCAGAAGGTAGGCGCACCTCGTGCGCCCGAGAATTTCCTCATTGACCCGCGCGCTCCGTATTCCACCTGCGACTCGTCATCACCGTTATTAATATCGTACCCCGTTGCCGCCGCGCGGACCTCGTTATCGTTCCCACGGCGGGAATCGCGCTACCGTCGTCACCTCCGTTTTCATCGCCAGCGTTGTTGACGGTCGCATAAAACCCTCCTTCCGACAAAATTGGGCAAGGTGCAGCCGAATTAACGATCGGTAGATTTATCGGACAATTGCAAATTAACGATTAAGTAATTAGCATCATGCAATCATGATTAACAAGCAGCTACCTACGGCTTAAATAATCATTAATTACGACTTTTTAAGTAGGAAACACGCGAGTACATCAGTAATTACAATTGGATTGAAAGGTTGACGTGACATTTAAAAAATAACGAGACTACTCGGTAAACTAGCGCGGTATCTTGCGTTTGATAATCAATAGGAAATTATGATTAAAGAATTTTACGTCAATCAATCGCAACGCAGACAAGTTAAACACGACTGTCAATAGTGTCAATAGTGTCATTCGTATGTTTCACACGATAACAACAATTTCAATAAATTCGTTCGTTCCGGTTACATGTAAATATATTCTCTCGAATGTTCCATTTTATGATGACGTATCATACGATGTTTTGCATACTGCTCTGATATTTGATATTTATTTTGTACGTTTCATTCACAAACTCACAAGAGGAAAGGGAAAGAAAAAAAGAGAAACTGGAAAATCCTGAAAAACATTCGCGAAAGAGTTGGAAAAAAACTGCAAGGAGGACAACGCTCTCTCGATCTCGTGCGACGAGATCACAACGAATGATCCCTTTCTCCTTCCTTCCCCTTTTACGCGGTCAGACACGACTCTCCCGATACCCTTCGCGTGCCGCCGCCGCCGCCACCGCCTCCTCGTTTGCTTCTCCTCGTCGTCGTTTCCATCCGACACGTTGCGTCGAGTACCGACCCCAGTGCCCGAGAATTCTCCTCTTTCGACAGGCACCCGGTGACCGGAGCAGCGATTCTCCTGTGAAACAAAATATATCTCTCATTAAAATATATTTCAACGATGCTAATCAACAACCAGTGATTAACGGCGGATTAATTATTCCGGGAAATGAAATCGCTATAATATATGCGTATTTCTCTCTCTCTCTCTCTCAATTCAAATTTTTACTCCAGAATATCCTACTCCGTAAAATTATTATTCCGATCGAATTATTCAAATCCTCGACATTTTCTTTTTCTAAAATCATTGCAGATTGCAGAAAATCAACGCAGAAATGGAATCGCAAATTAGAATTAATCGTACAAGGGGTGAATGAGAGAAAATAAAAATAAATTGCTTGAAAATAAAAATAAATGCGTCTAGCGTCTGGACACCATGGTGCACAACCGTACAATATAAGCGAGTGACAAAGAAATTTAAAAGAATTCGCTTAGTTAATTACGAGCAGTATTAGAATGATGCTTTCATTGACTATTCGGTTTCCACTTCTTTTTCTCGGATATACTAGTAGAAACTAATTACGTTACAGACTCGGCGGTGGGCACGATAGGAGGTCACGCGATAACGAACGAAACACTTGTAACTTCACAGAATATTCTATGTTTCGGTCTCTCTCTATTTTCCGCGTAATCGACGGCAATTACGTTCCGTGTATTTCCATGTATTCTAACCATAAATGAGGATGAATTAACACGCAAATGAGTGATTGAACGTAAACCGGTATAGTGGAAAAAAGAAAAAAAAACAAAGATGCGCGTTGTTAGCATCGATTTTGTACGTCATTTATCATTATCTGTGAGGTTGATAAAGGCGGACTGAAAACACCAGATGTGTGGTAGAAAGAAATTACGGTTGCATCAAGTTTAGGATAAGTGTTCAATAATAACCGGTTATTGACCCGCTATTATATGCACGGTTTATAAATTCAAACAGCTATATAAAGTACAGAAGAAACATAATGTAAAGTACATGTAGATAAGTTCTAGAAATGAATGTACATCATCGAAATATAATGTAATATTATTCGGACATATAAAATATATGTGCTTGACAGTTTTGCGTATTTTCTAACAATTTTATATCCGTATCTATACAACATAACTCTGTAAATATAAATTCAAATACCCAATGCTTGAAGCAACTTTGAAAAATGTCAAGTTTCCGTGAGAAATTCTTACAACAAGGACATTGTTAAGAGTGAAGTTTTCGTTTAGAATTTCTCGCGTGAAAGTGCAAACTATAACCTGTACGATAAACAAAATTTGTAAATCTTGGTCGTGCAAGTCTATCGGCCCGGCGTCCGACGCGACGTAAAGAAACGTAATGTATTTCGCAGGAAATCCGCAGCAGCCGACGGAGATACGGCAATTACGGTCGGGATACGTGTACCAAGCACGCAATGGGGGCGATCGATCTCGCGCAGTGGGAAATACTGCGGGAGAAAGCATCTGACACGCGTTTGCGAATTGCGCCGCCCGCACCGCGGCCGCGGCCACGGCCGGTGCCGGTGCCATATCCAAGGAACCTGGGTCGATTCGCTGCTGTGTTGAATATGCAACAATAGCAAAAATGGCATCAGCTGTGCAGGACAGCTTACCATCGATCTTTTTGTTACGCGGCTCAAAACAACGGCAGTGCCGCCTCTCTCTGCGATCAAATAGAAATTGAAACTGAAACTATTTTGAAACGTTCGTCCAAAGATGGTAATCTTTAAAGTTGAAACTTTACCACGTTCAGAAGAAAGTTGAAGAGAAATTCAATTATGATCAAAATAAAATTTTAATATCATTCAAGCTTAATTTCAGCTTGAAATAATAATCATCGCACAGTTCACAGTTACTCTCATTTGGTTCAAACAACGGTACTTTATGTAACACTTTCAATTTGCTTAAATATGTAAGAACTTAACACGATACAAATCTGAAGATAATTTTGTTAGACCGTCAAAACTGATTGCTGGAATGTTTAAACTTTTTGCAATATTGTTCATCATGCTTGAAATTTCTACATAATTATTTTAATGGACAAAATTATTTTCAAATCTGTTCTCTAGTTAGATTTTTTAAATAGTTTAGCAAAATCGTTCTTTCCGTGCCGTGAAAGTGCAATATAATTTTCACTAGAGTGAGGAAATTCACGAGTGTGGAAATTAGTCGAGAAATCTCGTCGTGTGAGCAATACGAATGCAAGGATTTATGCATACGATACCAAAGAACAGACGATCTCTCGATAGCGTTAATCGCGAGCAAACGGAACGCGCGCGATCGAAAGTTTTCTCGAGACTTAATCGCACACCTCGTATTATTACGGCTCTCGCGCGGTATAAGTTGAGTCATCGCGTATAGTAGTGCACTAATGGTCGTCCACCTTGAGGATGTTTCCTTTAGGGTACCTTACGTGGCCAACTCCCCCACCTTGTTCGTCGCGAATACAACGCGATCGGTCTCGCGATACTCGCGCGTCGACTTACTATTCAGAGTATTCAGGCGGCAGGCAAAGAACAATGACGCAAGAATTGGGGCTCTCGCGCAATTCCGCGACACTTTCGCGAGAACGTCGAGAATCAACCTACAGAAGAGAAGCGACAAATTAATTTAAAGAATATCGCAAATAGAATCCTACCAGCATCGATGTTACTTTCTCCGGAAACGTCAATAATTGATTTGTAATATTTAGGAATTTCTAGTTCATTAGATCAATAAAAGACTCTTGCATTAAAGAGAAAATAACTTGACGAGTTGTTTATATTTAACATAGAGACTGCACATCTGCGCACTTTCTCTATTCGCTATTATCTCTTCCAAGGGGTCCATATATAGATAATATTAGAGACATAATATAAATAGCTAAAATAAATTAGTGCGTATATTCTCACTGACCATTTATTTTGCTACGGTCGAAGGTAAAGTACGAGCGCTAAGAATACTCGGTGGTATCGAGAGAAGACGGAGTGTACTTGAATAATACGCGTTTCACACATAAGTGGTGCGCTAGGCGTACGTGTGTGTGTGTGTGTGTGTGTGCGCGCAAAGCTCTTTCGCAGTGACGCAGCCGGACTGGAGGACATCTTATTGGCCGGCTAACGTAAACACGCGTATAAGCACACCCCTTGTCCCCTTACATCATAGAGTCGAGATATCTTTTCCGATCCGATCCGATCCCCCTTCCTCCAGTCCATCCTTCTCCCCCTTCCCCCCCTCCGTAACCACTCCCGCCCTCGCATCTAGCTTCACCCATTCACCGCCGCGCCGGTGCGCAGGGTCTCGCATCTCTTTCACCCCACTCCTATCGCCACCGCGCTCTTCTCTAACCCCCTCTTGCCCCTCGCCGACCGTTCGCGAAGCCCGAGAACCCAGCGCAGGCCGCAGCGAGGACTGCGACGAGCGACGAGTATTCCGCAGCGCGCGACTCAGAGTCTCCTCCCTATGTGCACTCTCTGCACAAACAACTCGCCACACGCATGCGAGTTCCACTTCACGGCAGTGCTGCACGAAGGAAGAGGAAAAAGAGCTCATTTCGTACAATGACGATGATGACGAAGAGGATAAAAACGGTTATCGCGCGGCGTGTAACCCTCGATTGGCTGACCTGACGGCTGACGGGGTGGTCCATCTTACGATTCGGACCTGTACGTCTGCTCTGGACGCGCGACTCCGAAATCGAGTCAGGAGGGAGGAGTCTGTAAATCGCGCGCGCATATATATATATATATATATATACATATATACAGGCTTCACGAAATATGTTAGCAAAGTTTCAAAGTTTCTTTTCTTCATAGAGATATCTACCTCGAATTTACTCCTCGATAAAAATAAGCCAAGTTATCGATGTTAAAAATACTTGGTATAAACAAGGTATCGATCGACTCGAGGAAGTATCGAAGCGTTTCTGCCTACGCGTACCTATATAACCATTCAACGTCTTTCGCGAGTGAATGCATTATATACCCGAGTATTTATACCGGATTGATTAAAGAATTTCAGAGTTGATAATAAGAAAATTAAAAAAAAGTAACGCAAATCACCCGACCAACTGTCGTCGGATCGCGCGTGAAAAACAATTCGCGGAAATCGACAGCTTAACGGGGAAACATATCTCGAGCATTCCAACGCACCGACATCCTTGACAGGAGCCTTGACTTTTCGGCGAAGCGGAGCGTGCGTTGGCGGGTTTCGTAAGCAACAGCCGTGCTCGCCCGCTTCCCTTCCCTTCCTTTCATCGGCGAGATATCTCGCACGTTCCTCTCGCATCTCTTTGCTACGCGCGCGTATGTACTCGTACACTTTCGCCCGACTACTCTTTTTCCGGACGGTATCGATTGTAGCGCGAGCGACGGACAGCGCGACGGCGAAAGTAGAGGCGATTCTATATCCGAGCGAAGCGGTGCGGCGCGCGTCAACCTCGCTGATATAACAATGAAAACCGTCAGCCCTTCCCTTCCCTCCCCTTCCCCATGCATGCTCACCCATCATGAATTTTCCCTCTTTAATTCGCCGTCGCGTTAAACTGCCGTCACAATTTTCTGTACCAAACATTCATCGCTCGTCTCGCGTAGCAAATCTCTAACTACTGAATGAAATGGAAGAATGACGAGACATACGAGGAGCGATGAAAAAATATACAAGAGTTATAATTCTCATAACGATAACGTTATATTATATAAAAAATTAGGTGCGACCATTACTATTGTAATTTATTTTATATTTTATCATTATTTCTGTCATTGTCAAATAGGTTACATATTCTTCTCTTTATTAGCTTAATCAAAATGTTTATTAAAAAAAATGTTAACGCACGTCTCGATACAATGAAAGAAAAGGGTAGAAAGATCGATATTTTATCAATGTGTCTAAACTGGAAACCGTCAAAGATACAGGAAGTTGCGGATTATTGCGCAATATTGCAGTC